TATTAGGGAGGAGTCAACATGGAGAGACTGGAGAGAGCAGAACGCCTGCCCCTCTCTCCTGTAAGATGAGACCACATGGAAATACTTAGATTAATAGAAATGGGTTAATCATTAAGACAGAGCTAGCCGATAAGAAATTAGTACCTGGCCAACAACTTTATATCTAATATAATGTCTCTGTGTGTTATTTGGGGCTGGCATGGCGGTGGGACCAGACTGGCAGGGAAAACCTACTCCAAACAGCCGGAATATGGAACTGAATGGCGTCACTCAGAAACTGGCTTCATCCAGTGTGGAGGCTGCCCCTGTCCTGTAGGGAACACAAGTGGGCATGACGAGCAGTTTCTGCCCTGGCACAGAGGACATTGCCTCCTTTGTGTTCCCACCCCAGGGCGGACAGAGAAGTGACCTGGTTAGTCTATTGCTCTCATCCTTGTTCATCAGAACCATCAGTCATTACTTACAAGGTGACATTCCAGGACATGTCCTTTGCCACTTCCTGTGCTCAGCTTTGTATTTTTTTTTTTTTTTTACCCTGAACTCTATGAATCCTCCTGCCTCAGCCTCCTGAGTACTGACATTGTAGAGTTTGTTCATATTCCCTCGTTTGATCTTTCCAGCAAACCCACAGAGCTGGCACAGCCAGCACTACTTCCTAGATGACAGTTTGAGAGCTTGGGAGACTTTTATTTGTACCTGGAATCCTCCACGAAGCTGAGGATGATCTTGAACTCCTGATCCAACTGTTTCCACTCCCCAAGTGTTGGAATTATAGGTATAAACCATCATCTCTGGCTGAAGATTTTTTTTCTTTCTTTCTTATTTTTTTTTAAAGGCAACAAGAGGCCAAGTTGTCATCCTGTGTCTCAAATCTACCCTTTTGAGCAGAAGCATGGGGTCTCCTGGGACAGTAAGATGATGAAAAGAATCTGGAGTGGTCAAAAGACCAGCCTATCCAGAATCTGTTAGGAGTGTAAACAGGGCAGAACAAGGAATTTAGGCAGTAAGAGCTATAACCACCAGGTGGCACCACAGGGAACACTTTCTCAAGGTGCCTAGGAATGGGAATAATTTGGCATAGAGCTCCCTCTCTCCCCACTCCCTCCCCCCCAACTTGAGACAGGGTCTCACTGTGTAGCTCTGGCTGGCCTGGAACTCACAGAGATCTGCCTGCTTCTGCCTATGTAGTGCCAAGATCAAAGGTGTGGGTCATCACGCCCATCTTGAGTCTTATTTTTGCAGTGGGGTCTCTCACGGAACCTGAAGCTCACTGACTTAGGTAGACTAGCTGGTTACCCTGGGATACACTTGTGTTTGTCATACCAGCTTTGGGGTTACCAATGCACATCACACAGCTTTTACATCGGTGCCGCAGATACAAACTTGGGTCTTCCTGCTTAAGCAAGAAGCACTTTACCCATGGAGTCATCTCCCCATTGTCATTATTATTATAAGCATAGGGTCTCATAAGCTGGGTGGTAATGGCAGACACCTTTAATCGTGGCACTCAGGAGGCAGAGGCAGACGGAGGATCTCTGTGACTTTGAGGCCAGGCTGGTCTTCATAGTGAGTTCCAGACCAGCCAGAGCTACATAGTGAGACCTTGTCTCCAAATAAAGAAACAAATTAATAAATGCATAAGTAAATAATAAAAGCTACAATCATGGGCTGGAGAGATGGCTCAGCAGTTATGAATACTTATCACCCTTATGGAGGACACAGGTTTGATTCCTAGCACCCACATGGAGGCTCACGGCCATCTGCAACTCCAGTTCTATGGGATCCAATGTACTGCACAGATGTGCAGGCAAAACACTCACACATACAAAAACTACTCATTTATAGAAAGGACAGTACAGAGTCACTGGTGTGTGCATTGAGAGCACAATATCTGAAGACATGTCTGCTATTTTGTTAGGTAGGTGACTTGAACATAGATGGTTAAGCTTTGTGTCTTTCATTTCCTTACCTGTAAAGTGGGAATACTATACCTACTTGAGAACACTGTGAGGATTAAATGGATTATGATGGCATGTGAAGTTATGACAATGACTGGTACATGGCAAATTGCAATAAATGTCCAAACCTTACGGTTTCTGTGTGTGTGTGTGTGTGTGTGTGTGTGTGTGTGTGTATTAGTGTTCTGCCTGTATGTCTGCCTACCCAGAAGAGGACACTAGTTCTCATTATAAATGGTATAGATTGTAGTAAGCCACCATGTGGTTGCTGGGAACTGAACTCAGGACCTCTGGAAGAGCAGCCACTGAGCCATCTCTCCAGCCCTACAGTTTCTTTTTGTAAAGTATTTGTTTTTTGACGATTTCATAATCTATATAGTATATTGACAAGAATCACCCCCATCCCCCTCTTTTACCCCCTCCACTGTGTCTGGAACTCTTCTTATGTCACCTTCTTCCTTTCATGTATTCTTGTTTGAGACGGGGTCTCATTGTGTAACCCTGGCTGGCCTGGAACTCACAACATACCCCTTGCTGACTTGAAGCTGACAGAGACAGGCCTGCCTCTGCATCCCAAATGCCAGGCCACTCCTCCTGGCCCTCAATTACAGTTTAAAACCCACTTCTTTCCCCTTTAAGTTCTAGCTCTAACTCCATCTAAATAGTTGCTATGGGAGGGGAAATCTGGAGAGACAGCTCAGGGTAAAGGCACTTGCCATTAAGTCTGCCAACTTGAGTTCCAGTCCAAGAATCCACGTGATGAGAGCCAGTTCCTGCAACCAGTTCTTTGACCACGCATGTCATATCCTGCTGTGTGGTCCCCTATATACAATAAATAAAACATTTAACACTTTGGCTGGGTCTCACGGCACCTTTAATCCCAGCACTCACTCAGGAGGCAGAAGCAGGTGGATCTCTGAGTTCGAGACCAGCCTGGAATACAGAGCAAGTTCCAGGGTTGCTACACAGAGAAACTCTGTCTCAAAAAAGGAAACACCAACTCTTTTTTGCTTTGAACAATTTCTTCCCTGGAATGCTTTCTTTTCCTTCTTACCCAGGCCCATTCCTACAGGCTTCATGTAGAAAATGAGAGCTAGGCTCTGGTTTTCTTTCTTCATAAAGGTTATTATTGATAAGTCCACAAATGAAATGCCCCTGTATTCACCCTCGTGGCTGCCGTTGACATAGAGTGGTGCCATAGGAGCAGGGGTTTACTTTGGCTATACTGGGCAGACGATACCTCTGGCGAGGGGCCAATGAAGCAGAGGCTTGATCAATGAAGGTGAGATAATGATAACTTCTTCAAGGACCTTGAGGTGGGGACTTATTGTATGTTTCAGGAGCTGAGAAGCAGGTCCACATGCTGTTGAGCCACTAAGGATGGGACAGGTAAAATGATGAGGCAAAGAGCTAGGAAAGGCTAGTAAACAGTCTAGGTCTACCGTCCCATGGTCCTAACTAGCCCACTTTTAGGTCTGCCGGATGTAGCATCTTCTGCTTTGCACCCACAGATCCTGCCTGGCATGTGTTTCTTGCCTTTACCGGTTGGTAAAGGAATTCTACTCACCTTTCTTTTTCCTTTTTCTTTTTGGTTTTCTGAGACAAGGTTTCTCTATGTAGCCCTAGCTGTCCTGGATCTTGCTCTGTAGACTAGGCTGGCCTCATACTCACAGAAATCCACTGCCTCTGCCTCCTGAGCGCCACCACACCTGGCAAAATTCTACTCATCAGTCAAGGACTAGTTCAAATCATTTACAAAATCTTCTCTCATTCTTCAGCAAGAATTAGTCACTCCTGTGACATCCCAGCACACAAGTCATCACAACACTCATCAAATGCTGACTTGGCTCTCAGCTAGCTGTTTACATGCCAGTCTGCGCACCAGCATGGTGAGGTCCCAGAGGGCAGAAGCTCTGTCTTAGTCACCTCTGGAACAGTCTCCTGGTATCTAGCCTACTGACTGGCCCATAGCAGATACTCCTCAATGTGACATTTACTTGACTAGTGGGTGGGGCCCAGCACTTAAGGCAGAACAGGGGAAAACAAAAATAATAACAGCTTATGGCTTATCACATGCTTTCCCATTTGTTACCCTGATGAGCCTTCAAGGACTCTATTAGAAAGGACAAACAATCTTTGAAGTAGCTGAGGCTGAAGAGATCACAGCTAATAAGTGGGGATTAAGCCCCGATACTGTTCTTTTACTTGATCATTGGGTTGACCTGAGGAGCAGAGAGACATATGGAAGCAATAGGGTTGCCTGGAGAGGTGACAAGCTTTCGTGTATGAAGAGATCCTTAGTCATTTGCAACAGAGTTAGTAGCGATGCCTGCAAAGGACAAGGATTCCTCCCTCTCCTCTAAGAACCCAGAGTTCACAACGCCATCCCTTAGTCCGGTGAGCTGGGGATCCCTCTGCTGAGGAGGATGTTCAGGTTCAGTGGTTAGAATGACCTAACCGATGACGTGTAAGCAGACGCTTGCCTCTCTGTTGCTATGACAACCGGAGCTTGTCTGTTGGGCCCCTGCAAGGGTAGAGGAGTCGTGTTCTTCCTTAACTCTAGACCATATAAGGGCTTATGTGGTGTGTGCTCCCGCGTGTGTGAGAATGTATGCGTGTTTGCGCGCGCAGTGGAATAAACACGAAAAAAAAAAACACATTTTACGAAAGAGCGGTCAGCTCAGTGATTCTCTACAATGGCCGAAAATCAAAATCATCTGCGCAATTTTAAAGGTCTAGATGCTCAGACTGCATTTGACCAATTAAATAAGCATCTCGTACGCTGAACCCTGGCATCACTAGTCACTGAGATCCTCGCAGGCGGTCCCAACTGCAGCCCAAGATGCTTTAACTGCAGAGCTCGTCTTGCGACCTTCTCAAGATGGTGGCGCTCCGCCCCCACGTGCGCCGGTAGAGGGCAGGCTTTTCTCGGCGCATGCGCCCCGCGTCTCTGGGCTCCCGGCTGCCTCCTCCTTTTTCCCCCGCCTCCATTTTGTTCGCGGACGCTGGGGACGGTGGGAGCAGATCCATTTCCGGGTTGGTAAAAGGGGCGGCGGCGAGAAAGAGAGCTTGCCGCGGGGCGAACGGGCAGGACTAAAGCAGGACACAGGTGACGGAGGATTCGCTCCCGGAGCAGCCGCGGCCAGGTGGGAAAGACGCCGGGGCGGCCGAGCCCGCCGCTGAGGTGACCTGCGGACCTGAGTGGGAGGGAGAGCCGGGAGGGGGTCCTGGGGGGAGGGGACGCCGGGGGAGGGGCCGAGGCCGAGAGGGGGCCTGGGGGCGGGGCCTGGAGACCCTGGAGAGGGGCGTGGGCCATCCGAGTGGAGGGCGGTGGTGTGCGGCCGGCGCGGACTGTGCGAATGGGCAGGAGGGAGGTTTTTGAGAGACAGGAAATTAGAGATCCTGAAGGGTTGGGTGAGGTGAGTAAGACGGCAACTCTGGGTGAGGAAGGAGGGGAACCGTGCGCAGAGGGGGAGATGGGGAAGGGAGGGAGGACCTGTTGGGAAAGGTAATTATTAGCAGGATGCTCTGAGTTGAGGAGGTCGGTGTGACATTTCGGAATTGATTTAGGTGAAAAGGAATGGTTGGGAGGGAAGCTGTTTATTTACAGTGGAGGAAATCTTGAGAGTGTTGGGTGAGAGGGAGTCGGAGAGACGTCTGAGATGCGTTTGGAAGCTCCTGGAGTTAGAGGCTGCTGTTGGAGCGGTGTGATATGAGGGACTATGAAAATCTGAAGGCGCTAAATGTAGACTGCGTGTGCGGTTGAGTTACTGATTAGGAATGATTAGGAAGGCATATTCTGGAAGGATAGTATTGGAAAGAGAAGCTGGAGGAAGATGGTGGGTACTGGAATCTACCTTTCACCCCCTTGCTGGAGATTGAATCCTGATCCATCTGTGTGTTGGGAAAGGATTCTACCTCTATGCTGCACCCGAGCCCTGGAATTCTTTTCTTTGGTTGTTTTTTCGAGACAGATTTTCTTTGTGTAGCCCTGGGTGTCCTGGAACTCACTCTGTAGACCAGGATGGCCTCGAACTCTCGAATGTTGGGATTAAAGGCATGTGCCACCAGCGCCCAGCTGGAACTCATATTTTTGAAGTGACTTGAATAGTACTAGGTTGATCTCTCCCCGGACCCATTCCATTTTTTTTTTTTTTTTCATGCTGTTATTTTTGCTTTAGAGTTCTGTCTTCTGACTTGTTACATGTTTTGGGCTATTCTTTCATCTTTTTATGAGTCAGAAGAGAATTTTAGGGACTAAGAAGTCCTCTAGCTCTTGTATAGATTTACATGTAACTTTGAGACATTATTCAACTCTCATTCTCTCCCTCTGTAATATAAGTCTGACCTATCTGTTCCCTAGAATATTGTGTTAACCCATTTGATTTTTGAAGTCAGTGTAAAGAAAAACAGGGTCAAGATACTGTTATTTATTGCTTTTTAGGTTTTTTGGGGGAGGGGAGGGCTGGCAGGGTTTCTTTGCGTTGCTTAGGTTGTACTGGAACTTGCTCTGTAGACCAGGCTGGCCTTGAGCTCTCAGAGGCCCTTGCCTCTGCCTCCTGAGTACTGGGATTACAGATGTGTACCACCACTGCCTAGCATCTCTATGCATTTTAATATATATATATATATATATATATGTATATATATACATCTTTAGTCTTATAATACCTTCATATATCTTAATATTTTTAGTAGTCAAGATTTTTATGTTACTGGGTTGGTTATCACCAAGAGGAAGATGTGGACATTAGAGTCGGAGGTGAATGAGTTCAGCTGTTAGTGACTTTGAGAATGCAGTGATTTATTCTCTAAGTACCTGAGTATCTTCAGTCAGTATCTGTGGCCTTGTTGTCAGTGTCTGTGTTTGTAGACAGGATTAGATGCCTTGTCATCAGTCCTTTGACATTGTTTCATTTTTCCCCTTTGTACTACCTTGAACACTTAGCTGGCAAGTGAACTTGTTCAGCCTAGAAGTGTTTCTGAGAGTCTTGGCATTTCTGAGGTCTGATGCCAAGGACTGGGCAGTTTTAATTCTGTCTCACTCTTGGTATCAGAAATGGTGTTTACGGGAGGTGGTGCTGATTAGTGATGTGGACACAGGGGTGAGAGTCGGGAGGGGAAGGGTATTGGGAAGAGTGGAGCTGTTAAGTTTTACTATGGAGTTTTAAGAGGAGATCCTGTTCTGTTGCAGGGAATACCATCACATGCTCTTGCTTGACTTTAGTCTTCTGAACTGCTCCCTGGCACACTTGAGTGTGTTTTTCCTGTTGCCCTCAAGTAACTCTGAATCTCATGGGCTGTTCAGGCTGTTCTAGCAAACCCTAGTCTTCATACCAACATACCAACTCTACTTAGAGCTGCAGGCATGAAGTGTGCACATTTTTGGAGATAAAAACCCGTGTGTAATAGTGTGCTGCTGGGTGGGTGTTTGTTTGTTTTCTTGAGACAGAGTTTCCCTGTATAGCCCTGGCTATGATGGCCTTGAACTCACAGAGATCTGCCTGCCTCTGCCTCCCAAGGTAGGATTGAAGGTGAGTGCCACCACCAACCAGCTTTTTTTGGTTTATTCTTAAGATGGTTTTGCTATAACTTACAGAAGCTCAGAGCTGCTACAGTGGCCTGTTTCTTTTTAGCACAATGATTTTCAGTTTTTCTTGTCCTGTCACATTTTTCCATTGCTCTGCTTCAACTAGTTGTAAATGGAAAGTGGCAGGTCACCCTCCCCCTTCTTCTGGTGGGCATCCTGTCTGTGTCACAGCTTGATGCCACCAAATGAAAGGATTCTTGACTGCTTCAAATGCGGAGGGTGACAGAAGCTGAGCTGGGTTTCTTGAGCCAGAGAATGGACTCTGTCAAAGCAAAGAATAGTTGCAGAGACACAAACTGGGACCTTGAAGCTGTGACTAACATTTTGGCAACATGCATCCCTTTGCCAAATAACTTCTTTTCTTTAAGAGCATGATTGTTGATCTCTTTCTCAAAGTAAGCTCTTGTTAACTGTTTTTCTTTTGCACAGCTCTCAAGCAGAGGTTGGCAGAGTTCTGCTTGATTGACTGTCTCTTTTGGAATATGTGCCTTGGATTAGAGTGCATGGGAAGTCCACTGGTAGATCAGGAGAGCTACTCTGCAAAGAAAGAGAGGCAGCACTCTTCACTGAATGTTTGGGCAATTCTTCTCAATTCAGATCTAATTCTTACTTATCTGGTGGTTAAATGCAGAATCGTTGCATTTCCCTAACTTGGCAATGCCAGGGCATTGAGGAAGGCAGCATCCCAAGCTTTCCTGTGTTCTCACTCCCCAGTCTTCAAGCTGGAAGAACCTCATAGGCTAAAGTTAGGAACATGTCAACCTTTCCTTTTCTTTCTTTTTTTTTTTTTTTTTCACCAGTGCTTGGGATTGAACCAAGGGCTTCACATGTGCCAGGCAATTCTACCACTGAACTACACCTCCAGCCCCAGCAAGTGTTTACTGGCCTTATCTGTGGCAAGATATTGAAAATGTTACCAGGTGGTGATGTTGCACGCCTTCAGTTCCAAGGCTTGGGAGGCAGAGACAGGCGAATCTCTGAGGTGGAGCCCAGCCTGAACCAGCACAGCCAGAACTACACAGAGAAACCCTGTCTTGAAACACAAAACAGCAACAACAAAGACATTGGGAAATGTGAAATATAAGCCAGGTGTGGCTCATGCCTGTAGTCCCAGCACTTGGGGGGCAGAGGCAGGTGGATCTCTGAGTTTGAGGCCAGCCTTGGCTATAGAGTAAGACCATGTCTTAGAACCCAAAAAGGGGGGCTGGAGAGATGGCTCAGCAGTTAAGAGACCTGGTTGCTCATCCAGAGGTCCTGAGTTCAGTTCCCAGCAACCGCATGGTAGCTCACAACCATCGGTGATGTGATCTGATACCTCTTCTGGCATAAAGTCCTACATGCACTCATATACATAGAGTAAATAAATAAATAAATCTAGTTTAAAAAAAAAAAAAAAAAGAACCCAAAGAGGATGAAATCTCAAGAACTTAATGATGTTGTTAGAGAAAAAAACTGTTGATTGGTGTGTTAATATCTAAGTCAGTTTTTAATAACTTTAGAGTTTTGGCTTGGCATGCAAAGAGATTCTGTGGAGGTACATAGGTTATCAGATAACTGAGCTGGGGCTTGGCCACCTGGCTTTCAGGCTATTTGTTCTTCAGGAGATAAGTAGTTGAAGATGACATTCTTTCTGCTGATCCTGGGGTGGCCTATGAAGATGTTTTCTTTACTATATGGCAGTAGCCCCATAACGTTAGAGGTAACCCAAAAATAAATTTTCTTTTTGACTTTGAATCCAGACTTTCCTTCACATCATTAGTCTAGAGTATTTTTAAGAGTATGTATTGCTGGATGGTGGTGGTGCAGGAGGTGGAGGCAGGCGGATCTCTGTGAGTTCAAGGCCAGTCTGGTTTACAGAGCTAGTTTCAGGACAGCCAGGACTGCTTGTGTGTGTGTGTGTGTGTGTGTGTGTGTGTGTGTGTGTGTGTAAGGGGTAAGGGTGTGCATGCCACTGCACACATGGAGGTCAGAAGACAAATTTATGGATTCAGTTTTCTCCTATATTTATGTGGGCTCCAACTATTGAACCCAGGTCATCAGGTTTGCATCATTGAGGAGTATAAACTACTTAGCCATTTCACTGACCCTCCATAAGAGATTTGAGAGAAGGTTTCACTCTGTAGCTTCTTCACAGGTCCCAAGTTCCTAACACTATCCGGTGTGGCTCACAACTGACTAACTCCAGATCCAGGGGATCTAGCCATCCCTTCTTCTGGATACTGTGGGTACCAATATAGGTTGCTTGCACTCAAATAGACACATACAACTTTTTGTTTTGTTTTGAGATAGGGTTTCACTGTATTAGACTTGACTGTCCTAGAACTTGCTCTGTAGACCAGGTGGTCTTGAACTCAGAGAGATTCACCTGCCTCTGCCTCCTGAGTGCTGGGATTAAAGGCATGTGTCACCACAGCCCAGTGTGTGCCCAGTTACACACAACTTTTAAAAAAGAGAAACAAAGATGAAATTGGTGTTTGCAGAGGTGACACACAACTTTTAAAATAAATAAAGATGAACTTACTCTTTGCAACTTTTATATGTTAAATTGTAGTAGGGCTTGTTTATAATCCCAGTGTTGAGGATGTAGAAACATATGGATCAGGACTTCAAGTTCAAGGCCTATGTGGGCTACAGGAACCCTTGTACACAAAACAAACCAAAAAAATAAAACACAAAATTTATATTTTAAATAAGTAATACAAAATTCAAATGGCAAAAATATAAATGAAGCTAAACATGTTGACTCATGCCTGCAATGTCAGCATTCCAGAGGCAAATGCAGTAGGGTTGTGTGAGGCTAGCATGGGTTCAAGTTTAGCTTGAGTTGTACAGCAAGACTCAAAGGCTTTATGTAGCCTCAGTGGTAGGACAATTGCCTAACAAGTGCAAGAGGCCCTGAGTCCCATCCCCAACATTGGCATAGGAACAGAGTATATAATATCTTCTACCTTTGGTTTGCCTTTAGCCCAGTTCGCCTGTTGTATTGTTTCAGGGGTTGTGAACTGTCTCACATGGGTGTTGGGAATCAAATTCAGGTCTTCTTGCAAGAACAGCGTGTGATCTCAATGGCTGAGCCTTCTCTGCAGCCCAAGGCGACAGTTTTTAAAACCAGTGTAATACTACCTGCATGTTTTGCTTTTTTTTTTTTTTTTTTTTTTTTTTTTTTGTTCTTGTTTTTTTAACACATGGAACACTTCACAAATTTGCTTGTCATCCTTGTACAGGGGCCAAGCTAATCTCCGTATCGGTACAATTTTAGTATATGTGCTGCCAAATCAAGCATGTATCTTTTGTTTTTTAATGTATCTTGGTCATTATTCTCCATTAGGGATAAACAGATTTACCCTATTGCGATACAGATTCATACTCTTCAGTCTTATACAAACTATGCTGCAAAAAAATTACCACAATGTATTGACCTTTTGAAGTTGGTTTTAGAGTTTTTTGCTCAGGTCCTTTTTCTACCAACCCTTATCTCGCTTATGCTTTTGGTTGTGAGCCTAGCCTTTAATGGCTAAGCCATCTCTCCAGCCCTGGAAATGTGTAGCCCAGGCTGGCCTTGAACTGGTGACCCTCCTGTCTTTGCCTCCTTCAGCAAATCCTATCGTCGTGCACTACCACAACTGGCCCCTTATCTCATTAAAAATAAATTACATGTGTGTGCATGATTGCTCACACATGCCTGTGGAGGACTGAAGAGGTTGTCAGATTCAATAGAGCTGGAGTTACAGGTGGTTGGTTGGGTCATGTGGAAGGATATAGTGGAACCATCTCAACCATCTCTCTAGCCCCTTGTTTTGTTTTCTCAAAGCAGGGTCTTGTAGCTCAGTCTGGCCTTTAAGTTTGTACACTGTGCTCAGCCTTTTTTTTTTTTTTTTTCTTTCAATGTGCATTGGTGTTTTGCCTGTATGAATATCTGTGTGAGGGTGTCAGGTCCCCTAGAACTAAAGTTACAGATAGTTGTAAGCCATGTGGGTGCTGGGAATTGAATCTGGGTCCTTTGGAAGAGCAGTCAGTGCTTTTAACCACTGAGCCATCTCTCCAGCAGCCCCCTCCCACCCCCTTTAAAAAAAAAATGTTTTCCTTTGAAGTAATTCTGAAGCTCATGGAAAATAAAGACGTTTTCCCCTAGTGTGAAGCACTAAGCACTGTGCTGGATGTTAGAGATGGAGCAAATTGAGTTTTTGCCTTTGTGACAGTTATGGTCTAGTGGAAAAGACCTCCATTAAAGAAATGATTAACTGTTACTGTTGTTCCTTGTGCAGGCAGCTATTGGGGGAGCCAGGATGACTGAGCAGAGGGCAGTCAGGGGAGGATGAAAAGGGTGATTTAGGGGAGGGTCCTAAGGAAGGAATGTGGTTTGAGGAAAGAAGGTCCTCATAGCTAGTGCCCCGGGGCGAGAAGCAGAGAGGTCAGAGGAGGAGGATGTGGGCTTTCCTGGAAGGTCAGGTACTAAGTATAAGTACTTCAGTTAGCTCACTAGTTAATGTTTGTGATACTGAAGACTACATTCAGGGCCTCAAGTCTCTGACTCTGAGCTGTACCCCCAACAGCAGTCAACATCAGGAAACTTTGAGGTGACTTTACTTTCTGCAGTACTAGTTTGCTTCTGTGAGTGCTGACGATATCTGCATCCTAATATTTGGATCTCATTTTCCACCGGAATTTTCCTTAATAAAGCCTGTCACTTTAGTCTCAACTTCCTCTGGGTCTTGTAAATTAAGCCTGGTTGGCTGGGTTAGGTTTTAAGATTACTGGGGCACAGTTATCTTAAACTGGGATTTAAGTTTAAGATGGGATTGTTTGCTATTGAGGAGACAAAAAGGTCTGTACTTGTTCTGTCATCTGGTCATCTGGGTCGTATTTCTGCACAGGGTACATGAGTCTTGCTGGGCATGCAAGTAAGTGAGTCCCCTGAGGGGAGTGCTGTCGTGACCGGCAATATATGAAAGTGTTCTTATCTGGGACTATTCTAACAGTGGGAGAGCATTTGTATCTGCAAGTGTGCTGACTTTTGTTCAAAAATCACAGCATTCAAAGCCCAGATGGTCCTGTTTGATTGAGTACGTTTCTTACGTAATTGGATCAGCTTGCCCTGCTTTCATAACTTCAAGACTTGATTTAGCAGCCTATCACTGGTGATCAAGGAATGACAATGTACGAGTTTTTCTAGCATTTCAGCGTGAAGCATCTGCATTTCTGGTGGCTCAAGGGTATTAGAATGTGAGAGAAGAGACTTCAACAAGGAAAGTCACGGTGCTGTTATTAGATTCTGTGGTGAGTTGGGACTTAATACATTCTGTTTGAAATGAGGCATGGCACTTCTCTGTGTGTGGAGTGTGACCAGCGTTTCATGGTGCATCTGCTTAAGTTTCTTTCAGGCCTTTTCTTAGTAGAGTCTGTCATCGGCTTTTCTTCCTTTCTCTGTATGCTTTTCTGCCTTGTGTTTGAGATGTGTACATGAAGGATGCTCTGATGGCAATGGGAAGCTGGTTATAAGAGGCATGGCTAGTTTATAGTGAGAGTAGCCTATTTTGCCATCAGTGGCTGGGTGTCTGCCTTTCTTGCTTGTAATAGATCCCCCCCCCCCAAGTTTTGGCTGGCCTGGACCTCTGGATCTTGTTTTCAGTGTAATGCTACTAGTAAAGAAACCAGTTGGCATTAGAGTATGGTGGTGCATTCATTTAATCCCAGCACTCAAGAGGCAGAGGCAGGCGGATCTTTGTGAGTTCAAGACAGCCTGTTCTACAGAGTGAGTCCCAGGACAGCCAGGGGTACACAGAGAACCCTTGTATCAGAAAAATAAAAGCAAACATTTATTTAAAGACATGAGTCCTGCTGTGTTACCCTTGCTGGCTCCAAATTTTAGGCTTAAGCCATTTCCTGCTTCAGTGTCCTGAATAGTTTGGACTATGGCTGTGTGTCACTACACTGGGTTTGGTCATGATTTCTTTTAGTGTCCTAGAGGTTGCTCATATATTTGGCCTCTGATAGAGTAAGTGCTGAGGTCACTGATCACTCTGTGGTTACACCCAGATTATGGCACAGATCCAGGTCATCATGGGCAGCCTGGCTCCATTACAGTTTCAAACAAGATATAAGTGCTAATGTCCTTTTAGTTTTTCTTTACTTTTGGTGAGCATGTGCAGGTGATATGCTGTGGTGTGTGTAGGAGTCAGAGGGTATCTTTATGGAGTGGCTTTTATCCTCCACCTTTACTTGGGTTCCAGGTACCGTTTAGGTTGGTGGGTTTGAGGGGCAAGCACCTTTTACCTGCTGAGCCACTTTGCTATCTCTTACAATTTGGGGCAGGAAGTGGGGGTGGGTGGGAGTGTGTGGGTGGGGTAGTGGTGGTGTTGGTAAAGTTCTTTACTCTGTTTATTTGCTTTGATAACAGATCCAGCATTGACTTTCTCTGTGTAGCCCTGGCTGTCCTGGAACTCACTCTGTAGACCTGGCTGGCCTCAAACTCAAAGATCTGCCTGCCTCTTCTGCCTCCTGAGTGCTGGGATATTTGGCTATTATTCTTATGAGGTACTTAACACAGGGTCACACATACACACATAATTAAAAATAAAATAAGTCTTAAAAAAATAAAAAACTAAACTAAAAAAAAAGCTGGGAACAGGCTGGTGAGATGGTTTGGTGGGTAATGCACTCACTGGCAAACCTGACAGTCTGAGCTCAATCCCCAGGACCTGCAGAGGAGGAGGGACCTGACTCCCCAAGTTATCCTCTGTGCTCTGTCTCAGAATGCACTATGGCACATACACCCCATTAAAAATATTAGAGCCTGGTGAGATGGCTCATAAGGACACTTGACACTCAAGTCTGGTGGCCTGGGTTCAATCTCTGGAAACCACATGAAAGTGAACCGAAAGAATCAACTTCACAAAGTTCTCTGACCCCCACACATATACTGTGGAGCACACTCACAAATAAATAAATAAACAGGGGTGGATGGGGGTGAGACAGTCACTGTGGAGCCCAGGCTGGCCTCAGTTTTGTTTTATAGCTGAGAAAGACCTTGAACTTCTGGTCCACCTGCTTCCTCCACCTAGTGCCCAGGTTTCTTTTGTTTTGTTTTGTTTTTTGTTTTCAAGACAGGATTTCACTGTATATCCCTGGCTGTCCTGGAACTCCCTCTCTAAACCAGGCTGGCCTCAAACTCAGATATCTGCCTGCTTCTGCCTCTGGAGCGATGGGATTAAAGGCATGCACCATCACTGCACGGCTCTGTTTTATTTATATTGAAGATAGGATTGCATTATGTTAACCAAAACTGGCTTTGAATTAGAAGCCTCAGCTTCTTATTGTTTGTTTGTTTGAGACAGGGTTTCTCTGTATTGTTTTCGAGCCTGTCCTAGCACTCACTCTGTAGACCAGGCTGGCCTCGAACTCACAGAGATCCGCCTGCCTCTGCCTCCTGAGTGCTGGGACTAAAGGCGTGCGCCACCAACGCCCCGCTCTGCCTCAGCTTCTTGAAAGCTAGATTACAGACATGAGCCATCATACCCAGCTTGTTTTTGCTTAAACATAGTTTAAAGATTCTAATAGAGCTGGGTGTGGTGGAGCACTATTTTAATTCCAGCACTCGGGAGGCAGAGGCAGGAGGATCTCTGAGTTCTGGCCAGCCTGGTTGACAGTAAGTTCTGTGACACCAGGGCTACACAAGAAACCTTGTCTCTAAGAGAGAGAGAGAAAATCAAACAGTATTGTAAGACTTGAAATAAAAGGTGGCTACAGAGTTGGCTCAATGGCTAAGAGCTGTTGCTGTCCAATCATGAGGATAAGTTTGGATTTCAGAAGCTGTATAACAAGGCTGGCATCTTGCACATGCCTGTAACCCCAGTCCTGAGGTGGGAGAGATACAAAGCTCACTGAGGTTCACTGGCTTCCAGCCCAGCTGAGAAAAACACAAGCCCCAGCATTAGGGCGGGACTGGAAGGAAACAGGCAGAGTGATAGGAAGGGCACCCTTGGCCTTCTTCTGGCCTCCTCTGGAGCATATAGGCACCTGTACATACTCTTGCATATCTACACCCACACAGGTAAATGACTCTAAAAGAATAAACGTAAGCAGCTGCTTTATTCTTCTTGTTGTCAATTACTTTCTTAAATTAAAAAAATTGTTTATTTTTATTTGTATGGCTGTTTTGCTTCAATGTAGATATGTGCACTACATGCATGCAGTATCCATGAGCTCCTGGGACTGAGGTACAGATGGTTGTGAACTAGAATGTGAGTGCTGGATATCAAACCTGGAACTTGAACCCTCTCTCCA